TATTAATTTAGAATATAAAAAAAAATTTTCAAAATCTTTAAAAACCCTGATTGTACCCAATGCATCCTAGGAAACACTGACTATGTTAAGGTTAGTCTGGAACCCTTTGCTGTCTTTAGTTAATAATCACAGTCAAAATTAGAAGGCTCCTTGGTGTTTGCTTACTCTGTCTGCCACTCTACTCAAGAACGAAGGGAAAATGCTGAGAATTTACAATTCAAATCTCACCTTTATTGCTTACTCAGTAACTTGGATAACAAATATACAAGATTTTAGAGAACCAATAAAATAATTAATTCATGGGTATTTAAATCAGCAATCAAAATGTTTTATCTAGAATTACTTTTTTTCTTTTTTTTAAAAAAAGACTGAATTACAATATTCTATTGTCGAGCACTGTGTGTTAGACAAGCATAGATTTCAAAAATACATTCAAATATATAATGAATTTTCACTGTTGGCATAAAATAAACAATGGATAGAGGTTACTGGGTATACATTCTTAGAAAAGTATTCAATGGAAAAGATCATCACAAATTAAAACTTAAACTAAATCTAAAATCAGAATAAAAGATGCCACAGGAAAAGCTACTTCCCACTTATACTATCTATTCAGAATTGCCAACTCAAAGGCCTTGAAAAGCACCTGAGCTTGTAAGGAAAACGAGAGTGGTAGGCTAATGTCCTGCTAGTTGGATTCAAGAGTCAACTTTTTAAAACACTATGCCAGCCAAATAAAACAGCAGATAGAATTCAGAGTGTGGGCCATGAAAGTAAAACCCTACAAAGTAAAATGACTGGATTTTAATAATCTCCGGGTTTACAATACTTGAAGGTCTTAACAGATTAAATACCTCAGTGCCCATTATACTTCTAGAAATGAACTAGTGCTCAAATGCTTGTTGAATGAATAATATAAAACAAATGGCTTGTTTTCAAATACCTGATTAAATCATCAAAGGACCAATGAATTTAACAAATGAGTTGTGGAAATATATATCACTATGCTGGAGGTAGCCTGCAAAGCTTGGGAAATCTGCAGGGTTATTTTCTCTTCTAAACTGCATTTCATAAATCAAAGTGTTAGGTCAAATCAGTCATATTGAAAATATTTGCTATCACAAGTATCTGTAAACACCACAGACAAGGCCCTTAAACTTCCTAAGAAATGGTTGTTATTAACAGGTCATAACTTTCCTAGCCTTGTATTTTTATAGATGACTAGGGTAACTCCACATCATGTATGAGCACAAGAGTGAGAACCTAATAAAGTAAGTTATACTTTATGTATGTATATTCTGCTAAAACACATTCTATTGTCATCTATAAGAAATTAACATTTTATAGACAAGTTAAATAAAAATAAATAAAATTTTAAAAAAAGGAAATGGTTGTTAAACACTCACTAGTATAACAATGGATTACATCATGGTCATATATTCACTTGTTCAAATTCAATCACGACACTGTTTTAAAATATACAAAGAAAATTATTGGTGAATTCAATGATAGGATAATGTAATACAAATTTTAATATGTTTTTAAAAGCAAATTTTACAACTGTACAAGGCACAAACTGCATCAGTAAAGGTGGAACACATCACAAAACAAGAGTCACTGTGATACTTCAGATGTGTCTTCAGTTTAAAATACATTCCAATATTTACCCTAAAGTTTAAATAAAACTCTAGAGAATATAATTTCATCAAATTATGTAAGAAATTCAAGCTAAATAATCAAGTATTTTTGGTACATGATGTAGAAAGTAACTTTCTTGAAATTTCAAAAGATTATAAAAGAATCTACTCACACATAATTATGACAGCATTGTAATCCAACAAAAAGATATGTGCTCCCAAGAGCAAAAGCTGTCACTAGCTTAAGTTTTCTATGCCTTGTGGATCTACTTCAAGGATTCTATGATAGTATAAAAAAGTAATTAGTAAAATGCCTGACATAAAGGGCCAAATAAAGCCACACCTCACAATACAACCACTATTAAGTACTTTAAAATAGTTAAACAATGTTTGAAGTCTGCAATTTCAACTGGAATTTAAGTTTTTCCCACCAAGCAAACAAAAATCTTAGTGCAGGAAGAAGTTATGTTTAACACTATCACCAACCCCCCCCCCCGCCCATGTGCAAGTAAATACTGTTCAAAAAATGTACAAATTTAAAATATAGTGGGTTCTCAAAGTGTGATCCAGGGAAAGTCTCCCAAGACTCTATGAAAGCTGTACAGGATCAAACTGTTCTCAAAATAATACAAAGATATTATATTCCTCTTTGACACTTACGACTTCACAAGTGCATAATGTAGTTTTCCAGTGATCAGATTATACAAATTAAAAAAAAAAAAAAAAGAAATGCAAAAGCAGTCTGAGAACTTGTTCCTATTAAGCCAGACATTAAAAGGATATGCAAAATGTAAAACAATGATCCTGTTTTTCATAGTTTTGGTTTTTAAAGGTAATTTTTTTCATCAAAAAAATGTTTTCTATGTTATTAAGTAAGATTCTTATGGTAATATTTGTATGAATAAGCATGTTTTTAAGGTATCTCAGTATTACTTTTAATACAGTTAAATTCTGAAAGATATGTTTCACAGACAAAATCTCTTTGGGGATCTTCAAAACATTTAGATAATTATAATTATGGTTCTGAGACCAAAATGTTCCAGAACTGTAGATGGCAGTGGTAAAATGCAGCTAATTTTCCCTCTCCATCTTGCCAGTTGATAGGTACTATACCAAAGAGGATATAAGTCAGGAGCAAGGGATCTCCAGGTAAAGACTAATCCTTTCAAATATATAGAAGGAACTATTCTAAGGAATAATGCAATAACCTTAACTCCTTTTTTTAATATTTATTTTTTAGTTGTAGTTGGACACAATAGCTTTATTCTATTCATTTATTTTTATGTCGTGCTGGAGGATCAAACCCAGAGCCTTAGGCAAGCGCTCTATCGCTAAGCCACAACCCCAGCCCTTAACTTCTAATTTCACAAAAGTAGGGGTAAAATATTCTTTATTTAAAAAAAAAAAACAATAAAATATGCTTTTAAATTATACAGAACAAGTTTTTGCCATCCTAAAAGAAATGACTAATGTCTTTCCTGAACAAAGAACAGGAAAGAAGGTATGATTCAACTGGTGAACCAGGACGTTAGGTCTTTAGTGATATCACTTCCAAGGATTTTCATTTTAGTAGTCAAAGTAATTCTGACAGTCTATATAAAATCAGAAGCAAATCTGAATAGAAAAGTCAAATGAAGTTGACTTTAAAAATAATGAACAATAAAGATCATGAGAAAATCCATTTTTAAAGATGGATGTATTCTGGATCTAACCTAATCCACCTTGACTTTATAAGCTCGCGCTGAAAATTCTTAAATTCCCATTTAATTACAAATTTCAAGATTTACCCAGAAAAAAATAGTCTTTATAAAATTATTTTGATAACAACTGTTTAATTATACTTCTTAGAAGGAAACCCTGGTACTTGGGTACTGGCCTACAATTATATAGCATAACTTTTGTACATATGAAATTGATTTGGACCCAATACAATCTAAAACAGAAATTCAAAACATTTCTTAAATTTTCCCTTCATGAAAAATGGGCTGAAGGATTCCACCCAAATGTAGAACTATTTAAAGACTATACCCACACATACCTGGACCAATGCAGCAATTATTTAATTCTAAGAGAAATAGGGCTCAGAAAAGGGACAGAGATTTCCCAGTCTTCTTGCTTATCAAAACAGTTCAGATAAACTATCCTTTCAGTTAGGTGTGCACTGGACAGCAATAATCTAAAAAGTCTACAACACTATATAAAGATTTTAAAACACTAAGGTAATAACTCATGTATGTAGTCATCATTGCAAAAGGCTTTCAACATGAATAAAGTATTTGAGGAAACTGATGTTCACCTCTTAATACCAAACTTTTAAAATTTTTTTAATCGTTTTAAGATAAAACTTTTCATATATATTACATATCTATGTATGTAATTTCACCTTTTCTTGGTGACACAGCGTTATAACAACAGATAATTATTAGAAAGTGATATATTGATGTTCTCTAGGCTGGGCTGCCTGCCCCTCACTAAATGGTCCTGAACAGTGTATACTCTTCAGTTTCTTTACCTTCTTCCTTTCAAGCCATCACTTCTGAACTACTAATATGCTATGAGCTAGGAAATCAAATAATCAAAATTATTAAAATCTCACACAAAAACAAATGCATAAGCTCTAACATATAGATTTTATGACTTAGATAAGTTGTTCAGACACATATTTTAAAAATTACTCCAAGTTTCTTGGTTGTGTTCCATTTTGATGAGACTGCCAGATTACTCTGGATGAATGAAGCATTACTATATATAAATATTAAAACAAGTTCATTTGAATATTAACAAAAAGATATAACTAAACTTAGTATCACTGCCTTTTTAAACAAAGTATTCCAAAACTTTAAGGTAACATTGGGTTCCAGCTTTCCCCCCCCAAAATGAACATAAACATATGTCCTATCAATAATATCAATTTGTCCAGAAAAGGGGGTGGGGGAACAACTGAGGTGCAATCATGTCACAGTTAATGCATGTCTGCTTTCAATACATTCAAAGACAATTAAAATTAAAAAAATCAATGGTTAAAATAGGCCTTTTGCAGTCTTGAGAAATTCAAAATCTTTTAAAAAATTTTGTAAATAACACATACATGCAAATTCTTTATATACAAATTTCACAAAATAAGGAAGTTGCAAAGAAAGTAGAAGTATTACGGTGAATCTGACAAGCTACATTTAAATGCTTTACCACTGACATATTCCTGAATATAGCAATCCTAGTAGTTTTAATAAATTTTCTACATGGCCTTTTTATAAAAAGTTAGTCACTAGAAGTCTTTAAGAATTCAAGATGTTCTCAATTCACTACTCATATTTAAGGCCACTTTGGTAAAGGCATTGCAGCAAGAACACAAAAACAATAGCATATTTTCTAATATTTATTTTTTCACCTGCAAACTGTAGCAAAACATGATCAGCTTTATTATGCAGACAGGTATCCCTCTACATTTTTAAAGAATTTAGGCATGTATAAATAGAAGAGCTCTTTAGAAAGGAAAAATTCAAGAACGAATAAAACCTTCCAATTTTGACTTTGTAACTTTCCAGTAGCAATGGTTAAAATTATTTAGGTCATTCATTCCAAGATATATGACAGCACCTTAAAAGTGGCTGATCTATTTCCCCTGTAACATTTCTCACACAACAATGTGTTAAAGTTACAAATACTGATATGCACAAATAGCTAATTACTAAGAAAAATATGTACAGTACTGCAGCATAATGAATGTGGTATCTGCAATAACTTAATATTAGCCAATTTTTAATATACATGATACCGCTACCTTTTTCTGCCAATTCACAGGTTAAAAGTTGTTACTGGAGCCCTCTGTTTTGCACATATTACCTGGTGTTTAATACACAATGCAGGCTTTTTAAAGACTTCTCTTGTGTTTAAAGCTAAGATCAGTGAAACAAGACAACAGTGCAAGAGGCGGAGAGATGTAATGTGACCACATAAAAGTTCGTTCCAGTAAAGTGTCTATATAAGGCTATAAGAAAGGATTGGTTGATGAGCTTCCTGTTGGAAATTGTCCTGTTGGTGCACCAGTCTAAAGGGAAACACAAGACAAAACAGACAAAAGTGATGTGTGTGCAAAATATGAAAACATTAAATTCTACTTAATATTTATCTAGGTAATTTTATTTCTATTAGAATTATTATTATTTTCAATAACATTTATTATAATGGTTACTGGCAACAAACTATAATACTACTATTATTATGTATCCTAGACTGTGCTGTATCTTTCACAGCCATTATTTCAAACAATTCTTGTAAGATAATCTAAGAGGAGACTTGGTCCTTTAATAGAAGAACTTGTTTTTCAAACAAAAATCTCTTCCTTTTCATACTGATTCATTAAATCCTACAGCCTCTCCTAAAGTGTTATTTTGACAACAAAGCAGATTAAGTTTTATATTATAAAATTTATTTACTGTCAGTGCTTTGATTTACAACTAATTATTTTTAAAGGTCAGATAAAGAACATGCATAATTGACTCTTGTCTCAATTTGTACATCTTGTCATATCAGAACAAAAACAGCATGTATGGATATACACATCCTGTTTTTCCTTGAGGCATCAACTTATACAGTAGTTAAAATTGAATTTCACTTACCATGAAAGGATTACTAGATACTCCAGCAGCTGCAACTTGACCAAAAGCAGTTACCACTGGCTTTGTTTGTCCAAATGCTGCAAAACCTGCACCTTTTGAAAACAGAATCCTCAATTATAAGATAATCGGATGTTTATTAAGTCTCATATAATAACTTTCAGAGAAATTCTTACCAGAGGAGCAAAACTAAAAATAATCAAAGTTAAACTGTTATGTCTAACAGTTCTTTCAGAAGCTGGAGATAAACTTCCTATGACATGTCTTAAAATAAGTTCTCACAAAGCCCTTAAGAAATGAATATAGCATAATGGATCTTACTTTTATGTATAATAATAATACATCAATTAAAAATAAATTTAAAAAATAAATAAAGGGCAACCATTACAGGAGGAGGAGCTCAGATGACTGGGAGAGGAGAAGGAAAGGTGAAATACTAGGATGAAATGAAGCAAATTATGTTATGTGCATGTATGATAGGTCATAAGAATCCCACTATTATGCATAATTAAAATGCATATATGAAAATATAATTTAAAAAGCAAATGTGGTGTATATATATACAAATACTATAAAAAAGAAATGACTGATTCTAGCTTTACTTAACTGATAACTTGTGACTGGGAGGAGTTGTGTGGGTGGACAACACAACAATTTCTACATAAATCATAGTATTTATTTAGAAATACTTTATCATTTATGGCTCTTCCATAGACCATATTTTCAGACTTTTATCTAACTGGTGACTTAAAAAAAATGTGTTGTGATTCAAAAATAATCATTAAAAAAATCCCATGGATTTCATACTTCAGCAAATGTGAAAAATAGGTAAAACAAATTGTTGTATCTTCTCAAGTCTTCAATTTAGAAAATTGCTCTTATACACACACACACACACACCCCACACCCTTATACAAAAAAAGCACAAGGCAACATTTTTGTGATGACAAAACAAACTAATACTAAAAGCCTATAGTTTCCTTTTCAAATCAAAAAACATACAAGATGATGAATTGAAAAGAAAAAAAAAAAAAAGAAACTGGTTGACTTTGAGAAGGAAGGGGTATACTCTTTAGAAAGCTGTCATTTCAAAGTCCAAGCAAATTTTCCCAAAATCTGTAATCTGGGCACAGTAACTCAAAAAAATCATTGTTTTCTGAGATCAAAATCACTGGAGGCTTCTATTTTTGTATAGTAAAAACTCAGCACATAACACTATAGCATTCTTTAGGTAAGTCTTTGTTCCAAACACCTTATATTATATTATAATATATAAAGGATATCTAAAGTGGACTTACTGCTATTCAAGTGTCAGTTCTTACCATTGGGTTGTTGAGAAAAAGCTGTTTGTTGAGGGAAAGCTGCTTGGGCTGGGAAGGCGGGCTGCTGAAAACTGCCACTAAAGCTGGTGGGAAGACTATAGGGAGCAGGAGTGCCAAATCCTGCAGGCATGCTCATGGATGCAGTGCCAAAGGTTGCCGCTGACAGAAAGAAAAAAAGGGATAATCAGTTACGCAAAAAAAGGGGGGGGGGACAGTATGCTTCTTATACTCAACATTGTACAATACACAACTTACGTTGAAAAATACTAAGACATATATTAGAGGCATCTGAAATTCCAACAAAGAAGTAATAAACCAGGAAATTTTGTTCTCCTGAAACCCATGACAAGAATGAAACTACTAAAGCTGTCATTTCAAAGTCCAAGCAAATTTCTCAAATATATAATGTGCTTTTTAAAGCACATTATAATGCAATTCACATGTATATGAGTATACATTTTTATTTTTAGGTTTGTTTTGCCATATACAATAATAACCAAAATTTTAATTTTATTCCCTAAGGTGTATGTCCCTGGAAAACCATTTTAAATTCTCAACAGAAGAGTTCACTAAAAATAATTGGACTTATAGGAGAAAGAGGATTAGAGGCAGACCAGTAAAATCTATTTAGATTTGTAACTAAGGGGGGGAAAAAAAAAAAAAAAACAGTTGAAAACCAAAAACACTACTACAGCCAGGTAGGTAGTACATGCCTATAATCCCAGTGGCTTCGGAGGCTAAGGCAGGAGGATTTTAAGTTCAAAGCCAGCCTCAGCAATTTAGCAAGACTATGTCTCAAAAAAAGGGCTGGAGATGTGGCTCAGTGGTAATCACCCTTGGCTTCAACCCCAGTACCAAAAACAAAAACAGCCACAACAAAACACTGACATAATTAAAAGGACATGTTCAATTCCTACTACATCAATTAAAATAAACCAAGAATTCCCATCCTTTTTGAAAGGTAAATAAAAATAACTTTAGAAGAGGACCGAGAAACATGGGGACTACTAAACAATAAAAATTAGAACAAAATGCAGAAAGATTGAAAAGGGCATTCTTAGAAGAGAAAGAATGTAGGGTAAGAAGGTAACAGTACTACTGTACTCCTCCTTGGATCTGTGTCCCACTGCTATAACGTAATAGCAAAACATTAACATGCTGGAGGAGACCTGGGTGTGAACTACCTACCATACTTCCTAATCATCATTTATAAATTAATTCACACAACAAAAACATATAGTAGCAGAACAGTGTTTTTTTATTGCTAGTAAATATTTAAATAGCACCTTTCCACCTATTGGTCCTAAGAAGGCACTCAGTAAAACAAGATATAATATTGATTTAAATAGACTTCTAGTAATAACATAATGAAATATTGTAAGCATGCTACTATCAAAATACCATAATAACACACTGAACTTCCTGATCTTAAAAAAATTAACATGATCACTGATTAAAATCACAAAAATTACTTAATACTAAAGGTATTCCATAAAATCTATATTTTCTTCTTAAAAAAGAAAAATAAAAAACAAGTTATAGATGTTGCCCAAAGTAATACAAGAGTTCTAGTGTTTATAACAATGCGATTTTGCTTAATAAATTAGTTCTAACTACACATCAAACTTTAAAAATTTAATTGTTACTGACATATAAAAAAGGGAAAATAGGCACTGGGAAGCAAGTGAAAGAATAAGCAGCACACTGAAAGGGAAACAGGAAGGTATTACAGACATTAATGCACTGACATAACTTTGACAAATCACTGTTTAAGAAAGCACTAAAAAGCAATACTGGGATACAGTTAAGCAAAACCAAACTCCATGGAATATGTTAAAATGGTTTGGTATATCAAAAAGGTATCACTTAAAGTACTATGAATCCAAACTTAAGAAAAAGAATCAAAAAAGCTACTAACATTCTACTGTGACCATGGAGGTAAGCAATAATGCTTTTCAGCATTAAAACATAAATCACTATGAAAAGATTTTCATATAACTTTAATACAACATGATCTCGATGCCACACATCCATGCCCACTCCATTTTAAAACATGGAAAAACTTAATTCCACATGCAAGGATCCAGAACGCTAGCAGAAGCTTCAACAAGCAGGTAGACAAATTGCCACACAAATCTAGATATTAGTTGTGGCCACCTACCAAAATGAGCGTGAGGAAACACTTGAGAATGCATTGCTCCAGAAAGGCCTTATGGAAAGCCATAAAGAGACCAATGTCAATTAAGTCGTGAACAACTACTGTTCAAATAAAGTAAATTTGTTTCATTAAATAATTCTCAAATTAGAATGTGCTGTTGCCAACTGGATAGCATAAAAATATATACATTAAAACACAATCACAAAATGAGCATTTTTATTCCAAGTATATTCACAATACTATAATATTTATACCACTTGAAATAAAGAAAAATTTAAGAGAATAAATATCAAACGAAGAAACATTCATGAAATTCAATTTCTAAAAAAAAGCACTGACATTATTTTCAGGTGAAGATACAACTATACGTATAAAAAAAGATTTGTACACATCATGAGCTGCATCCAAAAATGCTATTTAGCATCCAAACCCCAAGTCTTAAGATAAAGCACCGGAACAATGCCAGATCATTTTATTTACAACTCAACTAGAAATACATAAAGATGACTCAAATTAACTAAGTATCATACAGGTAAAATTATTAAACATGGTTTACTAAAAAGGTGAGTGGGGACTTTCAGCTTAAAATACAATCACCTTTAAGAGGAAGAAAAATGTATCTTGTGCATCTTACATACCTGGCACGTTTGAGGATAAAGAGGTTACATATAAAGATACGTAATTAACAGAAGACAAACAGGTTTTGCTGAACACTAAAACCTTTTTTCACTGTTGTTTAACAAAAAGGAAAGGGGCTATTTCTAAAATATATTTCTATGCATTTTAAAATACGATACTTTTAAGATTAGCATAAATTTGAGGAAACTGAATCAATGTTGGTTCTGCCATTGTCTAGGAGCACAATGTTACTTAATAGGGGGCATGAAGTGACCAAGCAGAACCTATGCATTTCACAAAGCTGTTAAGAAGATTAAATGTAACAATGAATCAAAGTGCTGTATATTAAACAGTCAACAAATGTATTTTTCTTCCTAAATTAGAAAAATACACACATAGAGCACACATACATACTGTGCTCTTAATTCAACCAAAGGTTAACTGAAGGAGTGTTCTGTGTTAAGTTTGGTCACTTGACATTTATCTCCTTTTTAGACCACTCTAAAGCTTTAAGAAGTCCTGGCATTTCCCATCTGTACTTAAGCATAGAATCCTTTTCCATGAAATACTGCTACAAGATTCAGTCAACAGTCACTGTTAAAATTAATAGTAACCACTATATTTCAGTATGGAACAAAGATGCCAATCCCTAAGCTTCGGAGTACCAAAAACGCTATAAATTTTTCTTAAATAACTTTCAAGATATAATTCACGTCATACAATTTATCCGTTGAAAGTACAGAATTCAATATTAATATATATACACAGATATTGTACAAACATCACCACAATCTAATTTTAGATTACTTTTTTATCCCCTCTAAAAGAAATTCTATATCCAAAGGCTACTATTTCCCATACTGCCCCATCATTACCACCATCTCAGCCTACTACAATCACTAATCAACTATGATAAATCAATCTATTTTCTGTCTCTGTAGATTTTATTGTTCTGGGCATTTTATACAAATAGAACAATAAATGAATAGACTTTTGTAAGTAGCTAATGTTTTATTTAGAATAAAAATCTCAAGGTTCATCCATGTACATAATTACTTCATTACATATTATCATCAAAAAATATTCCACTATATGGCTATTCAGCATTTGGCTTCTTCAGTTGATGATATGTGGGTTAATATATATAGGGTTGATGATATTTGTTTTCATTTGGGGGGCACTGTGAACAATATGGACATAAACACTTGTGTAAACAAGTTTTTTTGTGTGAATGTTTCCTTTCCTTCGGGGTATATTCCTAAAAGGGGAACTACTCTATGTTGACCTTTTTGAGCACAGATATACCATTTCATATTCCCACAAGCAATGTATGCAGTTTGGCATTTCTCTGTATCTTCACTAATAATTATTATCAGAGCCATCATAGGTGTGAAGTAGCAACTCACAGTAATTTCGATTTTCATTCCTCTACTGACTAATAGTATCTTTTCATGTGTTTACCAACTATATGCCCCCTTGGAGAAATGTCTATTCAAAATATCTTTTGTCAATTTTTAAATTGGGTTGTCATTTTATTATTGAGTTGTAAGAATTCTTCACATTTTATTAATAAGTCCATTGTGAGATATGTGACTTGACAATATTTTCTCCAGACTGCTATGAAGTTTAACTTTTTGTTGTGTTCATTTTTATATCTATCTATTTCCGTTTTAAAGTACCAACTGCAAATTATTAAATGTTCGAGATGTCCAAATATTAAGAGCAATTTGAGGAACATGGTGAGTATATCAGCTCCTCTATTACAAAAATGTCTTACACAACCTAATGGAACTCTCTACTTAGGTTTTCTTTCATTTTTCTTCAATTACCCCCATTCCTTTTTTTTTTTTTTTTAAATCTCATTTCCAGAGTGAGGTGGGCCTACTGAAACAAGTACATATGCTTATCAGTGTATGTTACAGAAATGCAAAATCTTACTGGAATGAAAAAAGTACTGGTTTACAAGTGTCCTGAATGTTAATATCAAGTTTAGCCATTACTTAATATTGAACCCTAAAGGCAAATTGGTTTCTACCTAGGTAATAAAATAAGGCTGTGGTGTCTGGATACTACCTATGGAATCTTTCAGCTCTACATTTCTATAAGTTTATCTCCCTGGAAAGAAAAAAATTCTTTAAAACAGAAAATAAAGTTCATTTTTTCAAAAGGACTTCTGAAAAAAAGGGCATAGTATAAGTGAGAGAAGTTGTAAGAGAACTGCCTAATAAATGACAATTATCTTAATTCTATTAATTGGATTTAAGGACTGAGGCTGGGAGAGGACTCTGCTAAATGTCACAGAATCCTAAAATTAAAAGAATACTTAAACCATGCAGGGTAATCTCCTAAAGAAGGTTCTTAAATAATATGTTAAAAGTAAAAGCTCCAAAGTCTTGAAAATCCAGGAAGTATATACTGGTAAGACTTTTCAAATTTCACATGAAACTGTTCTGAATTGTCCTTTTTCAAAAGCTATCTCAATTTTGTTGATATAAAGTAGTGAAAATTCGTAGTCATAAGGACAGTCCATCAAAGTTCTATTCATATTTTAGCTTCAATAGAAACATGCAACATTTGCTTTAATGCATTCAATAATAACCTAAAAAATATAACCAATGTGATAAATCCAAAAATGACTTATAATATAAAAATATTTTACCTCAAAATAAAAATTTATGGACATAGTATATTTACCATTCTAATAAACTATGCTCATATTAAAATTGATTTATCACCTATATATTTTATGATTTTATATCCTATGTAGAATCATAGTTTTTAAAAGACTTTCATGTTCTAAAACATAATAAGCGAAAGAGTTCTTAATTCTGAGGACAGAACTTAGAGGTACAATCAATGAAAAGAAAATACTAAAGTAAAATGCATTAAATATATAATCACACAGTGATTTACATCATTTGATTTTACACCAACACTGACAGTCAGAGAATACTGAACACATTTTTATAAATAAATACAGCAATAAGGATCAGATTATTTAGTGATTATAACCTCAGACAAGTTTTCAGTTTTCATTCCTCAGTTGCTAAAATGTGGAAATCTATAAACTCATCAATGGTACCTTGCAAACAACTTTAACAAATATTAATACATCTCCCTATCATCCTTATCCCATTCATTAATAAAATATAAAAAACATTCTTAGTATCACCTAGCAGATAAATACTAAATCAGGATTTGAACTCAAGCTGGCTATACCCATTTAATTTTTCTAAGCCTCAGTTTGCTCAATTCTTACACCAGGATTAAGACAGTTATTTGATGGGAGCTTCAACAATTAAATGAGACAATGTTTAAAAGCCTATTGTGTCACTGAAATATTTTACAAATTCCTTCCACTAATTCAAAATAATACAGCAAGAAACAGCAAGGTCATATACCAAATAAAAAAGAAATAATACAAATAGAAATTTAAAGCAATCATTGGTTAGATATACTTAACAACCAAAAGCACAATAGAAATTTTAAATAATCATTGTATTAGATTGACCTAAATTTAAAAATAAACCATTTTTAAAAAATTAAATTTTATGTGGAATTCAAAGTTATTTTAAACAACTATTATGTTAAATACCAAAAATTCATAACCAAAGATATTTATGCAAGATGAAAATAAGAAGTTATCTACTACTAGCATCACAATTCTTAATCTTACCAATGACAAAGAGATTTAATAAAAATCACTAATTTTTTATAAGATTTAATCTAATTGCAATGTTGTAAGTACCTACTTACTCTCTCAAGATTTTATATCAACATTTGCTAAAATTGGAATCAAAACTTTGGTTCTAGAACTACACAAAATCGAAGTTCACAAAGTCTTCATTTAATGGATACCGTCATACCACCTGTACTTTCTGACATTCCAAGGTGATGGCAAAGAGCTCTGATGTACAGCATAATAAGACGAAACTCAAAGAAAAACAATATGAGATAGATGTAACAAATCCCATTCATCTGATGTGGTCTCATGGGGAAAAACAAAATTCTCATAAAATGTTCTATTACGACTGAATGACTCACAGCCAGAAATTCTAAATCCAAACCAACAAATGTTACTTAGTTCAATTCCAGACCAACAAAAATTACCGGGTTTAAGCTCCTCTTTGGTCATATATTAGCTATATGACTCTAAAGAAATCTCATTCCCATTTGATCTTCCCTACCTGAAAAATGAAAGGTTTGGCCAGAAAGGGAACACTACATCTTTTTTAAGGTTCTTCTCAACTGTTAAATTCCAAAATTGTGTAAATTTCTCACTAGCTTTTGTCTTTATGGACTAACTTTTCTTTCCGGTTTAAATTCACTTTAGTAAGAGACAGGCCCCATTTTGCGATGTTATTCACAAGGTCTTTGTGATAAATTACTTCCCCAATGCTTACTGTTTCATACTCGAGTCTTTTTTTCCCCTTACCTGTTGCTCCTCTGGCATTTGTCTGAAATGGATTTGTAGAAGATGCCACAGAAGGACCAGCAGCAGCAACAAATGGATTTGTGGAAGGCGTAGCTTTAAAAAATTATAAAATATACTATAAAATCCTAATTTATTTTGTATTCAATATTTTAAATATTTATTCACTATATTTATAAAGACAGAAAACATAAGCTTTGTGATAATAAATCATTGCTTTGAGTGCCCCTTGGTACCCTTAAGAAAATGCTACACAATACATACTTAGGTTCTTTATAAAAACCAATCAATATATATCAGGAGTACATACCTCCAAATGGAGCAGGCACACTAGAAGAAGCAGGTTGGGTCTGTGCAGAAGCACCCACTGGCACTGTTCCAAAAACATTGCTGAAAACAAAAAGCAAAAGTAATGTGCCTGCAGGGTAGCCATAGAATATGGAAACAGATAACACTGAACATATCATGATATAGCAATTCTGAAACTTTTTGAGTCTCTCTCAAAATGTATTTACACTTTAAAATACATTATTATCCAAATAATCGACAAATATTTTATGTATATTACATTCATCAGTTTGTATCATAGAGAAAATAAACTTGAGAACTTTAGAAAAATATTCCTCAGGTTTAAAAATAATTTAAGCTATAACACAAATAATACTTTTGTAATAACTATTTTTAAAATAAAATGAACTTAATGAGAAGGTAGATTGTTTTATATTTCTGAATATCCCTTTAATGGTTGGCTTAATAGAGGACCAATATATTTTAAGAGCTTTAGTAGATAATTGTGGAAATCATATAGAAAACAACAGTGATAGTTTCTTAAAGATTAACTGAAATATGGAATTTGAAACCATATCAATGAACTTTCTACACTCCATTAAACTAAAGTTCACTGGTCTATCCTGTACTTTAAATGAATCTTTTACCAATTTTATATCATATATTGGTCATTTGAAAAACACTTGTTTTGGCCAGTCACAGTGCTGCATGCCTATAATCCCAGGAGCTTGGGAGGCTGAGGCAGGACGATCGAAAGTTCAAAGCCAGCCTCAGCAACAGTGAAGCGCTAAGCAACTCAGTGAGACCCTGTCTCTAAAGGAAATACAAAATAGGGCTAGGGGTATGGCTCAGTGGTTGAGTGCCCCTAAGTTCAACCCCTAGTACCAAAACAAGAGGAAAAAAAAGAAAGAAAGAAAAATATTGTTTTATCAGCTTATGACAACCTTCCAAATGTTGTCATATTTCTTCATACAAAATTTAAAAATCACATCAATATGGCTAACCATAACATCCAACAATTAATGAGAAGCTGTCAAGCTCGTGATAGTATATTAATTTTCCAAAGTCTTCTGATATTTGTGGAAAACATCAATTTCATCAGTGATTTTTTTTAGTGACAAACCCATTTTTTGGAATATGTCTGAAAAATACTCAAATCTGAATAGTAATGGTTAGTCTCTGAGTCAAAGAAAAATGGTGTTCTATAAAATAAGAGGCTACTTCTTTCCACAACTCAACCAACTCTACAAGTAATTTCTTGTTAATTGACAACTTTTTTTTTAAATTGTTAATTTGTTGTTAATTGACAACTACATGCACCAGAATCACTTCATGTATACCTTATTTAACATAGAAAAATCAGTAAGACATATTAAGGATAAAGATTTAATAACATTTAAAATGTTACCGCTTCATCAAGAATACTGATAAGAAAAAACTGATTAGGAATATTCACAAGTAAAACAATGTGTGGTGCTGAGAAACACAGAGACTACTGAATGACCACTATCTTAGTTTATGTTAAGACACCTACAGTTTCACTTGCCATTCCTTACTCCATCAATACAAATGTCAATTGGCAAAAAAGAAAACAAACTTTCAGAATTATTGTAGAAAGTTTTTTAACCTCAGTTTCCTCTGTAATAATTTTAGGTACCCCAAATATTCTATGGACTACCCTTTGTGCACCACCAATATACAGCAATATAATATTAATAAACCATTTGTACTGTATAACTCATCTAAGTTTCCTGAGTTTATGGTCACCTAGTTATAGTTCATTATTAATATCTAATATGGACAATCTTAATACATATCCTAAATTTTTTTCCCATTTGGTGCATAAAAAATTCATTATCAAACAGTTCAAGGAGGTAGTGTTAGAATTCTGCAATTTCTCTCTAGAAAGACTGTGAAAGGATAATAAGAGAAAAAAGCAGGTAACAATCCACAGGCATGGGAAGTAGAGATGATTAAAATTGTACAGGCAATTCTCTGGGGGTCTGTTTTCTTGACCCTAAAATGAACAGTTTTTAAAAATCTAATATTTTAAAATGAGTTAAACTTTCTACTATAAAGAATTTCTGTATATCAAACACACATAAAATTGGTAGATCTTTGAATTTATAAATACCAATATGACAATAAAATGTAATGCAAACTGTTCACACCAAAACACAAATTGATGTTGTGTTTTGGTGTGAATAGTTCTAAAAATTAAAACTACAATATAGTACTTTCACTGTTTAGTCTCTGATTAAAAACTGAACCTTATGAGTATGTAATTTGACTGCTAAATGGATTATATGATGAGTATAATCTGTATGTAACCATCCATTTAAAGATGTGTACTCTCCGAATTACATTTTAGCACTCAAGGATGAAAAGGAACAAAACTTCTGGTTCAATGAAGGAGAAAATTATGAAAATTACTCAAGGATTATATTCTAATTAACAAATTAAACAACTGCCTCAGATTTAAAAACTATTCAATCATTTTTATATGATACCCTCAGTTATTACTGAACTATATTATTCATAGTTGAAAAAAATTAAAAGATAAAACACAAAGCAAAAATATTAAGACAAAATACCTGCTAGCATTACTTGTGGAAGTATATGCATTACTGGAAGTGGCAGCAGAACTAAAAACACTGTCTAATTCTGCCAGGGCTGCATACTTGTCTGACGATGCACTTGAATGACTGGGAACTGAAACCACAGAACCAACAGGAGCTTTACCTGTGGTCCCAAAACCACTCCCTTGATCACCACCTGAGAATGAACAAAAAAAACACCACACTTTAAAATTATACTTTTACCTTATCAACTACATTTGCAGTGAAAAACTAATAAATTTAAAACTAACATGGTACTAAAACAATTAAATAAATAAATAAAATATATGAACAGGATTCTGGGGTCTTTCAGTCTAGTACCTACTCCACACAACGTTGGACCAGATTAGTTGTTATACATACCACTATAGACAGAATGCTATTTTTCTCTAGCATTATATGTCTATATTATGCATAGAAAAGAAATTCTCAAGGAAATCCAGGACAGGTGGATCTCATTCAAGTGAATATATAAATTCATAAAGTGCTAGACCTGTGGTGGACAACCTATTACTAGTTATCATTTTCCCAAGGTTTTCCATGTTTAAAAAAAAAAAAGTAGGAAGCATTTATTAAGCACTTATTATGTGCTGGGTACTGCTCTGAATAACTTACATGCAGTAATACACAGAACACAATCTCATGAGTTTAATGCTATTATCACTCTCACCTTGGAGATGAGAAAAAAAAAAAAGAGAGAGAGAGACCCAGAGATCAGAATGTGGAAACCAGTCTAGTTCCAGACTCCTACTGTTCGCCATTGCACTACGTACTTTTAGATGTAAAATAATGACCTTAAGATGAAAACATGGAATGGAAATATGTTGCTTTTTATATAGATTTTTAAAATACCAAATAATAGCAGGAAATAGTTCAAAATACAGAAACCACCAAATAACCCTTTAGGCAGCTCTCTTAGTAAAATTTATTGGCTCCTTATTGCCACAGAGTAATAAAGCTTGCTTTCTAGGATAAAATAAAAATTTTCAATTATTTTCTTTTAAAAGTGTAAGTTCATAAATTAATTTCTAAGCCTTCAATTTTGTAGTTGATAATTCAGATCCAAAACCTCAAAGTGAAAATTCCGTTCAAAATAGTGTGGACAATATATCTATACAAATGGGAAAAATATTTTAATAAATATAACCAAATTTTGAGTACTGTTTGATATACAAATTTGTGTTTATTTTGTTTAAAGCTTGATACCTAGGGGTTGGAAATGCAGCTCAGGGTAGAATGCTTGCCTAGCATACCCAAGGCCGTGGATTCAATCCCCAGCACCACCACAAAAAAAAAAAAAAAGGCTCGGTACCTTGCCCAGCACTGAAGATATTATCTAAATTAGCAAGTGCTGCATATTTGTCTGCTGTCTGTAAACCAGCTTTGTTTGCTGAAACTTTACTAATAGCTGATGCTGTCTGATGACTCTGGGAAGCATTGAAGGTTCCAAAATCAGCACTGGAGGATTTGGGGAAGTTATCAAAATGAGCAAAATTAGCATTTACTGATCCAGCACTTCCACCTGTAACAAAATAAACAGAATACTTGAAATTTCTACACTTTTTCCCCAGTACTCTTTGGTAGATAATTTGATCATTTCTTCCTAAATTATCTTATAAAGATTATACAGGACATTCTTATAACAAGGTACATGATATTATGATCCCATACATTCTTGAAATCATGTATATAATCATGTATGACCTTATAATCATGTACATTCTTAAAATCAGTGGCTGGTGAATCATCTTAATCATCTACATGTGCCTTTTTATAATTTATGCAACTAGAATCCAAAGGACCTGGAGGGAAGACTATTGGGGTGGGGTGGGGGGCTAGGGTTAACTGGTTAAAACTCAGTTACTTCACTGAACATCCAGCTATATGCCATGATCTTTGACTAGTTCTCCTTCAACAGACTATACCAACAAGATGCAAAATATCTTACTTGGAGGGTTCAAGCTTTTGAAGCTCTATGGCAACACAGTTTAAACAAATCCCAGGGATAGAAGCTAACAATATTTAAATCTATTATTTTGATCAAGAACTTTTTAAAAAGACAGCCACTGATCTTTACATTTAATTTCATTTTAAGAGCTATTATTTAATTTTACATAGTAATTTAATGTGCATTCAATATCATGATGCTCACAGTAAACCCATATAGTTATACATAATAATTATACTGTACTTTTTGATAGAAAAAATGTTTTAATCAACACAAGTTTACACATTGACATAGCTAAACTAGAATGCCTCTATTTTAGAACTTTCCTCAAGTACTGACAAAATAGTCAGTATATTTCATACCATGCTTTTGATCCTATGCTTTTGATATATCGTTCTTCATTCCTAAACTATACTTTCCGTAATCAAAATGGCATATACATATGGTTATGTATTAAGGTGACAGCCAAGTACACTTAGAGATACTTTTAAAACAGACTGAAGGTGCTTCTATGTGAAAACCATGAACACTTTCATTAGTCAGTTCTTTAGACATTCTAAAACAAATAATATACTAATAAAAAATTTTCAGAAATTAAACTGTGGTTGTTATAATTGAAGCTAACAAAAGTGTGCTTTATTTAAAAGATAGTGAGCTGTTACAAGGAAATGGCAAAACAAATGCTAAACTTCTAAAACTTTTATGAAAAATTTTATTTCAAAACTACCAATTAAGTTTGATTAAATATAGCTGTGTAAAAAAAACTGAGCTCAATAGTAGAGGAGAGTAAAAGTATAAATTTATAAAGGATTAGAATTACAAAATGATTAATAATCTATATTTGAAAACACCCATGAGATATAGCACAAAACATACAAATTAGTTAAAAAAAAAAAAAAAAAAGAAGCCTACTGGACAACAGAACTTACTGTGGGTAGCCTGGAGAGGAAAAGCTGAAGTAAATTCACCAAAACTGCAGCTAGATGAAAGCATTCTAAATGCTGGACAGCCAGAAATTATATAAATGATGACAGTTAAAGAAAAAAAAAAGAAAATTGAAAGAAAAGGCTTTAAGACAATACATACAGATTAAAAAGTTGAAAGAAAAGCAATCAACCAAATATCTAAACAATGATTTAATGACTGCAAATGGTACAGTTTATGGGAGAATATTAAATGTTTAAAGACCAATTCCTGCACAGAAAACAATTTCTATGTTTGATTAAAGTGATTATTATTAATCTATAATAACTAACATTTAGAATTTTTTCTCAAGCTTGTTGCTCTTGAAGTTACTTCCACTTTTAGTTCTATGGAAGCAATTAGCTTCCCTTATTCAGACATAAAATGATGGCCTAAATCAATGTGCTCCATGAACCTAAAACACTTTAATGTCCCTTTGCATGGGAAATTTAAGCAAGATTCATGTGCAGGAAAAGGAAGAGAATGAATGCAGTGAATTAGACAATATACTAAAAGAGTTCAGAAAAGCAAAAAGAACAGAAAAAATAAAAGATTGCAGATTTCCCCAGAGCTTTGTAAGACAGAACTACTTTAAAGTCAGGTAATCAATAGAATTTAATTTTTAAAACTATACCTACAGAGTTTTATTGTTGTTGTGGTGGTGGTTTTTAAAGTAAACATTTAAGCATAATTCTGGAGAAGCTCTACCTGTAGTTTGGGGTTGGAAAGGAGAGTGACTTGCTGTGGGGAAACCTCCAAAATTACTCGAACCACTAGACTGTCCAAATGTATCAAAGTTTGCAAAATCTGCATTTGCAGAATTCTGAGCTGTAAATGGCAAGGAACAACATACGTTAATGAATATGAAAAGTACAAATGAAAATTCATGACAAATGAATTTAAGAATTTTATGAAAAGTGTCAAGGCATCAAAACTCACATTAAAGAGAATTCATTTAGAAATCAGACTTACAAGAATTTAACCTAAGAAAATTCAGTCCTACAAGAATTTAACCCAAATATAACTATTTACTAACGGGTATCCAGAAATTTCCAAAAATATTGTGTGAAAAGATAATCTGTACACAATACCCTTTGAATAGCCTCAGGAACAGTGCTAAAAAGTGAATCTATTAACAAAGGAAAATGAATTCAGAACATTAAATATATGAGTTACAGAAAAACAAACAAGAATGTGGGGAACATTTTGGAAATTTCACTGATTTAAAGAGATAATAATAACTTATGTGAATCTGAAGAATAATCTAAATATCTAAAATAATGATACAGATAGTTTAATTACATTAGTAAAATATTCTTTTGGAGTTCCTTTAAAGTTTTCAATTATGTGGTACCAAGGGCATAGGAATATGAAAAGAATTTTTTGAATGTATAAGAACATGACCACCAAATAAAAAGAATATATTCACACTATATCAGAAGGCTGCTATTTCAAATTCATGTGATAATTTAAGAAACAAAGTTATATAGGAATTCTAACTGTACATCACATTCAGTAAAAAAAAAAAAAGAAAAGAAAATCAAGATGCATTTCTCAACTTAGATGGTCCTCGACACAGGAGAAAATGTCCAGACTTTTCTAAATCTAAATATGTAAATAAACAATTCGAAAGTTTTTTTTTCTTTTTTTTTTGAAAGGCCAAAAGAGATGCTGAGTAAGAATTTTCTAAGAAGATATGATGCGAATAAGAAACGCCTGGGACATAGGAAAGGGAATGCTCAGTGGCAAGAATGAAAAGCATGTCTGAAGGATGGAAAAAGGATAAACATCATTAGTACAGTAAAAGGTTACAGGCAATTCAACTTTTAGAAAATTTCTGTAAAGAAATAACCTTGCAAGTGAGTATAGCTGTATCTAAAAGCTCCACGAATTATGTTTTCAATAATAATAAAAAAATCAGAAACTCAAATGACCACCAAAAAGGGATCACCTAAATATATTATGAAACATCATAAGGCAGACTATAATGCAGCCATTAAAACTCATATAAAAAATATTTAATCCTGAACAAAAATGTTTATATGAAGGAAAATAAATTAATAAATTCCAGACCTTTTTAACTGCCAATTTTGTTCAACTAAACATGGTATTATATTCATAATAAATATTTGTATTTTAATTAACCCTAAGCAGTGGGATTTCAGATCAATATCATTTTCTTCTTTTATGTATGCCTGAGTTTGTAGAGCTTTTACATGTATTCTACTGTAAACAAACCAAAAAAGTTACTAAAAAAAAAAAAACTTCTTCCACCAACAAAGCAACTTACTACACATATTTCTTCCTATTCTAGGAAGAAAATCCAAAAAGCTTAATAGTATTTTGTTTTGTATATGTCTGCATGGGTATAAAGTAGGGGGAAAAAAATGTACCTAACCTTATACCAGATACCTGTACCATCTCTTCTGCTGTTCTGAAATACACTTACATTTCTCAACTTAGTGAGACCCTGTCTCAAAACAAAAATGTTTTAAAAGGCTGAGGATATGTCAGTGGTTAAGCACCCCAGGGTGCTTTGAACTCCTGGGTTCAATCCCTGGTACAAAAAAAAAAAGAGGGCATTTCACACAGAACAAACAAAACCAGACTTCTTGATCCTCTTCATCTAATACCCCTCTGTCCATGTTTCCATGTAGTGATAGATTAGAATATTCCTTTTTTAAAAAAGATACCACAGTTCCACACAGCATTACATGACTCATTTGTGTCATCTGAGGGATCCATAACATATGATAAAACTACAGTTCAGATTTTGTGATACAATGTTTATAACCAAGCAAAATACTCCATACATGAATTATGTTTCTAACTTCCTATTTCTGTAGAAGATGACTCTTTGAACACAATAAGGACCCCACATATTCATATACACCACCTCAGCCAGAATGTTCTTTTGAAGGTATAGATTTCTAGCTTTTAAGCCACTTCAATTATCTACAACAAAACAAGTTTCCTAACAAACGATGCTAACCAGATTGGCACATCTGAATAATTATCACTTGTCATTAAATACCATCAAACTCTTCAGGGTAAATTCTTCATTTTTTTTAAATCAGAACTTCAGAGTGAGAACTCATCCATCAATGACTTATTTGTGAACTACACATGAAAAAATAAAATTACACAGTGCTTTCAATGGTTCTAGAAAAAGATTCATCAGTGGAATCATGACATTGATTCACATATAAAAATTATTCCAAGGCAAAATGTCAACATGATATCAAATATACTGAAGGGAAAACTGAGTAATTTTGTAGAACCTTCTTTAAAAAGGCATTTTCCTGGTATCAAATATAAGTAGAATGAAGCAGGGTATGTGTGTGTGGGGGGGGGGGGGAGATTTGAGTAGGCATTTTTGATAAGTAAGAACTTTAGTCTGAAAAAGGACTACTTCTTTAAGCAACACATCCCAGCTACTTGGTTACTGAAGTATTTCCTCATATTCATCTATCATTTCCACCATATATAAGAAAGAAAGAAAGAATAATTAAAAACCTATCACCATCTATGGATCTTGTAAAAATAGGTTTCTTTCTTCTTTAATTTCATATTCTACAACTATTTCTATTTTTTTCAAAGAACATTTTAAGGGAGTTATTAAAGTATGAGTACAGTTATGGTACAAATTAGTCTGTAGAGATAACAAACAAACAAACAAATAAAAAAAGTGTAACAATAATCCCTGATCTGTAAATGCTCAAAATGCATAAAAAAGGAAACATGAAATAAACTGAAATATTTTTACTATGCTCATAAAATTATGAAATATATATTTTAGAAAAATTAAGTCTTAAATTTTTCTTATCTATAGTTATAGAAATCAGCTTTTGGCAGTAACTTACCCACACATTTGAAAATAATATAAAGCAAAGTTTTGAATTAGTAAATAAAACCATTAAATGGCTAAATTAATTCCTAAATTAGTATTTAGTACATTTGAATTGATGCTTCTTTAATCATTCATAAATGGAGATGGGTATATCTTCTGTAATACACTTCAATGCTTACTAGCATCCAAAATAGATTCCATGTATATTTTCAATAGAAATGTAATGTTTCTAATATAAATCCAATACAATAAATAATGAATAGATAAATTTAGGCTTATCATTATTTGGCATAATTGACCCAAGTATTAATGAGCAGTTAATAGTATAAAAAAAGAGACTGCAAAATTATGTGCCTCTTAAATTCCAAATAGTCAGTCCCCTAGTTATTCCTCCCATAAAGAATCTGGAACTCCCTAGCAACCCAACACACACACACACCTGTAACTGACCAATCTCTAGATCCAACTACAACCTACAAGAAATATATAGAAAAAAGTAGCTTGTTTAACAGCTCCACAATGGTACAATCAACAAATTTAGACCACGGCAAACTCTACAGGACAAATAAGCTCCTATCTTTTAACAATTTATATAAGAGGAAAAAATGATGGAAAAAGAACCTATAGATTAAAATACCTAAGAGACTTACTTCACAACTACAATGTCTACACCTTATTTGAAACCTTATTCAAACAAATTTTAGGTACATATTTATATGATCACATGTGTGTATATATGCATGTGTGTCAGAGTATATACGTGTGTGTATGTATATATATATATATATATATATACACACACACACTCATAATACACAAAAAATTAGAACTGAAATAAAAATTTGAATGAATTATTACTATTATTATTTAAACAATTTATAACCATATTGAGGTTTAACAAATAAAAGTCCTGTTTAACAGACATAAAATACTTAATCTCTTTTGTGTTTAAAAGTACCACTGTTACATAGTTATATATATTTAAGGGTAATCAAATACCCTCAACTAAACTGATGCTTAATGAAGAATGAATGCTGAGGCACGTACAGTGGTGCACACTTGTAATGTGAGCAGCTTGGGAGGCTGAGGCAGGAGGATGGAAAGTTCAAAGCCAGTCTCAGCAAAAGAGAGGTGCTAAGCAACTCAGTGAGACCCTGTCTCTAAATGAAATATAAAATAGGGCTGGGGAAGTTGCTCAGTGATTGAATGTTTCTTGGTGTTCTATACATATACCATCCAAAAGCTATTGAAAAAAGACATACCTGCATGACTGTTGAAATGTGCAAAGTTAGCAAAATTGGCTGTGGCTGTTGACTGAGGAGCTGGAGCAGCAAAAATGTCTGAGCCAAGATCACTCAAAAGATCAAACTGCTTCTTTTCTTGCTGTTGTCCTTGAGAGCGACCAACAACTGGGGACTAAAAACCACATGTCAACTATAAACATTTTTCAGTAAGAGCTGCTGAATTTTTATACAAAACTATCTCTAATTCATGAAGTACTTATATGCAGGAAGAGTTACAGTATACTGACTTAATTCCTTTGTTCATATTTTTCACCCACACCTTTTGTGAAAACAAAGCAATTTATCCAAAAGCCCTAGAATGCACTATAAAAATGGTAGAATGTAATCTACAGTACTATACTTCAGAACCGCTGTATAGGATTAAAGTTGCAATGCCACGCAGAACAAGATCTGTCACAACTCCATCTAGTACAACAAAGTACTAACCTCAGAAATCAATTTATGAAGACTGTACTCTTCATATTTTCAGAATAAGTTATAAGGGAAAGCCATCCGAGTTTCAATGATAAACATGCCACACAATCACACATTTGGGAAAATCTTATTATATCCCGTTAAAGTACATCACAGAAGCTATCCTGCTCTGTCACTACAGATTCAGGTTTTACTAATTGTTTATCAAGACAGATAGCTTTAGCAACTTTCCTGTACACCTCCATAAACTGTAGAGAAGTTAAAGCAATCAAAAACAGAACAAAACCACATTCCTATCACTTACCCAATAATCAATTAATGTATTACAAACCATGAGGACATATGTTATATTGCTGTCTTAGATTCTCAAATTAAAAAAAAAAAAAATTCTCAAATTCTTGGGCTAGGGATATGGCTCAGTGGTAAAAGTGGTTGTCCAACACAACAACAAGACAGACACACACACACACACCCCCTCTCAAATTCTTGATATTCAATTCTCCTTAAGTGGAAGTCCTTACAAAGACTTTTAAAAGACTACTCACCTGAGTAGGTGTGCCCTTATTTAAGTGCAGTGCTGGTGCAGAATCTCCTAAAAGAGATTTCAGTGGTTTGACCTCAGGTGTGCTGCTTGTGCTACTGGCAGAGGAACCTGAAATAGATGCATGAACTGATGCCACCACTTTGGCTTGTTCTGGTGGGACATACCTAAAACGTGAAAATTAGAATAGGTAGTTAATTTTTAAAGCATAGGAATCCTACACTAAAAGATAAGCTCAATTCTAATTTTGTACAAAACTGTTTCCACATTAATCTTATCTGAAAAATCTCACTTAAAATTGATAGCTTAAGACTACACTTAATTGGAACACCAGAGAATGTAATAGATGAACCAAAAAACTTTTTTCAATTATTTACCAATGGCTTTTATAAAAAATTATATATTTATTATTTTTATAAATACAATATACCAACTGTTTTTTAAAACAGAAGATGAATAGTTAATACTGTAATTTTCTGTTATGTTATACATGTATCAGTAGCTTATTATTTTTATTGCAATATAATTTGATTATTTAGCTCTTTTTAATTTACTTATATTGGTGCATAATTATAAATAGTGAAATTCATTAAATCATATTTGTACAGGCATATAATTTCATAAATTTCATTCCCCTGTACCTTCCCTTTCCATCTTTTCCTCCCTCTCCCTGATCCACTTGCTCTACTCTACTGACCTTTTATTATTATTACTGTAATTAGTGCATTATCAGTGTGTGTGTATATATATACACACATACACCACATATACATACATACACACATATACACACATACATACATACATGTGTATGAGAATTCATTGTAGTATATTTTTACACAGACATAGAATTTACTTTAATTTTTAAAAACAAAAATATATTAAGATCATAAACATTTGGAGATGTAAAAGAAGGTAAAGAAACATTTATTATATTACAGTTAATAGTCTTAAAATATAAGGAATTATTATAAATCTATAATAAGATCATTTAAATTCATTTTGAAATGGACCAAACCAATTCACAAAAGGAGACACAGATATGAAAACTTATAAAGGAAAAAAAATGTACAATTAAGCTATCTCTCATCCACATGTGAACTTCATGCTGTCTACTGAAACACATTCATACATATGCTCTGTGCCCAAGAAGTACCCATTCCAGAAATTTATCCTTAGCAATCAACTTGGTAAGTGCATATTGGTACATGAACATGCATGTTACCACAGCAATTTAAATAATTTTTTTAAAAATTGGAGACAAACTGTACATCCATCACGAAAAAAAAAATACTTAAAGGGATTATGCTAAAATTTATAATAATATTATGGAGCTACTCTGCTTGACATGGAAAGATTCCCATAAGATGTCATAAGTGTTTCAGGTTTGACCCCATCATGGCAGGATTCATGGGAGGAGGGCAATGAAGGAAAGAAAAAAGCAGTAAGGATAAAATGCCCCAAAGTTGGCAATGCTAATCTCTAGACATAGCATTATTGAAATCTTCTGTTCTCTGTAATTATAGGTCTACCCTACTCTCCATCCCATCCCCCATAATAAACAGTTGAACAAGTAAGAACATAGTATTGTTAAGAGCACCTATTCCAGTGACAAGATCCCAGCTTCACCACTTAATGGCTGTGAAAACTCGGGGCAAACTTCAACCCTGTTCTTTCATTTTCATCTATAAAATGGAGATAGAGTTGCTGTGGGGTTTAAATGAGTTACCATTTGTAGAACACACAGAACAGTTCTTAGTACATTAACTATAGGGAGTGCTAGTTATTACCGAACACATAATAATCATGAGCAATTGCTTTTTTAAATAAATGGTAGAAATGACAAGAGATGTAAGAATGAATACAAAGAAGCTATGCTTTCCTGTAATTGGGCATTCCACTGACAACATAAATTCTTGAGTACAGCCAAACCAGATAAGAGTTTATAGCACAAAAAAACCACTTAAAGTAAAGGGACTAATCTTGCAGAAGATTGAGGAGTGATTCTCAAAAGATCATGAATAACAACAGCATCACTGTTATAAGTGCAGCTTTCTATATTAAGGAGTCTTAGCGAGACTGTATTTGGATAGTGCTCATACCACATTTACCAAAAGAAAAAAAAAAAAAAAGCTTGCCGTTACATTAGTAATTATCACTGCAAAATTGTTGTAGATCATATGCCAATTTTTTTACAGAACAGTAGGGTGAGACCACCATTATGTGAAGCTTTTTAAAAAAATTGTGCAGATATTACTTAAAAATCATTTATCACTAAAGCTGTCATTAGTGCAAGATTAGCAGGCACAGAATACTGTGGATATACATTAATACAGTGGCCACAATTTTGCACTGAAATACAGTACATGTTAGGAGTGTGCAATCAAGAGCAGAGTTAAAAAGATATACATAGGTTCTGGCCCTTGAAAATAATGGTCACCCCTCTCCACCTACCATTTACAGTTTGTATTTGTATTACTCTTGCTATTACTATTCTGTTAGAAAACAAGGACTTATAATTACTTCAGGCTTTTTAGTTACTTAGCTTATGGTTTGAAGGAATAACTTATTATTCTTATAAATACAGGACTGTCAATCTATGGTTTTAATTCTATCAATATTATTCACATTTTCTCTTACAATTCACATGCATTTTTATCTTCATGGCTAATACTACCCTATCTAAAATCCTAACCAAACTTAGTTTCTTAGTTGTTGAAAGTAAAACTGATAAGAAAACTGAAAATTACACCAGGACTATGCAAGGAGAACACTCTTCTATAGAGTATAAAGTGTATAAGAAGTTAAGAATTAAATGGTAAAAGGACAATATCACTTTCTTTAAAAGAATTATTCATTTCACTATATTTTTATTATCACCTTTTAATACTTTTTCTTTTCTGAACTAAAATTATAGTGGTATATTTCTACCTATATTCATAACCAATGTACCTAGCACCAGTGAATATAGTCCTGGTTAATTTTGCCTTGCAAAAAGTAGTCTGTTTTAGTGATCAGTAAGAATATAAAACTGGGGCTGAGGCTGTAGCTCAGTGGCCTAGCATGAGTGAGGAATTGGGTTCGATCCTCAGCACCACATAAAAATAAACAAATAAAATAAAGGCATGCTGTCCATGTACAACTACAAAAATTAAAAAAAAAAAAAAAAGAAATATATAAATCTGACCGAGCATACAAATCAGAGCTAACGTGCTTACTGACTGAGAGTAAAGATCACTCCCCTATAAACCACAGCAAGTGTTCTCTCAGGACCAAAACAGGTTATAAATATATCATCTGTTGGGGAAAAGTGGCAGTTTACTTCCTCATTATCTATTCCCTCTATTCTTGACTCCTCTATCTTCTTAACCTCCAAAGAAGTAAAGATGCTATTCAAAACTGCTCATAGTTAATGAGTACTATACCTAGACATAAAGCTAAAAATGAGGAGCCCTAAGTGGTTGAACACTAGCTCTGTAGATATAGTCCTTGCTGTGCTGTAAGGGACACATTAGCTTTACGGATAACCTATTAAAACAATGGATTTAGTTAAGGAAGTATAAATGCTCCCTTCTTAACCAGGTAGCAAATTGACTGAGTCCTGGTAATTATAATTAAAAGGCTGCTAATAGGTATAGTGAAGTAAGATAAAGGAGTAAACATTTTTGAAAAACAAATCCAATAATAAACCAAAGGATAATGAGAACCTACTTACCTACTTAGCTACTTTGTTTTCTTCCCGTCTGCCTTCCTTCATCATAATAGACTAACCTTAACCATAATTAATAAAATTTTGTGAGGCTTTAGTGGAAATACAAACAGTTCACTCACCATCTTTTCTTTTCATATTTTTCTTGTAAAAACTCTTTCACTTTTTGTGGATCCCTGAAGTCTGGAATCGCTGAAGATCTATCATCAAATAATCCTAGCCAGATCTGTTTACAGACCTTTGGAAACAATTAAAAAACAAGTGTTAAATTCAATATCTTCACTTACTGACAAAGAAAAAATTATATTCCTTTCAGAAAGCCAACATACTTAATAATTTCAATAGTAATACATTCAATGAGGATTTTTTTATAACCACAAAGGACTGAATTTATTTTAGTATGTTGCGATACACAGTAAAATTTTAGCAGAATCATGAAAGATGGCACTTTATAAAAAAAAATGAATAGTAAACCAAGATTTGAGAGGATTAAGGGTTTGGTATTGTATTTGGTCTTGGCATGATCATAACCTATTAGCACAATCATGTAATCTATAAAATCTGTTTCCTCACCCATAAAACAAACTCAATCAGTAGCAATTTTACAGGCCCTTTAACAAGTTTAAAAATCAACCAAAAAGAAAGATTCCGGATCATAAATAATTTGCTATTAAAGTATAACAATAATAAACACAAATACAACTCTAGCTTCATATTTTATAATTGCCTCCTGTGTTTTTTTTTTATTTTTTATTTTTTGGTCTAATGGCTAAAAAAAAAAGGTCAATCTGGGATATTCAACTTATTTGAAGAAGTAGAAGAAATGAAATGATGCAGAATGGAAATAGGACACAAAGAACACAAAAAAGAACTACAAAGAAAAAAATTAAAGTAAAAACAAAATTAAAAACTGCTTACTCTCCGGGCATAGTGGCATATGCCTATAATCCCAGCAACTCAGGAAGCCGAAGCAGGAGGATCACAAGTTCAAAGCCAGCCTCAGCAACTAAGCAAGGCCCTGAGCAACTTAGTTAGACCCTGTCTCAAAATAATAAATAAAAAGGGCTAGCGGATGCGGTTCTGCCGTTAAGTACCCCTGGGTTCAATCCCCCATACAAAATAACACTGTTTACTCTTCAGTCTTGAAAGAAAAAAAAAATCAAAAAGGCAAGCTACAACAGATAAAAAGTATTTGCAAAATCTGTAAGAACTTGAATCCTGAACATATAAGAACCCCTACCACTCAACTGTAAAATACAGACCACCCAATATAGAGGGGTCAAAATATTTGAACAGTTACTTTATTGAAGATTTACACATTATAAATAAGTAGCCTAACATCACAAGTCAAGTGCAAAGTGGAAACTGAAATGACACTGAGACTCCATGATAAAGACATCCACAGACTATACCACTAGAAAAGCTAAAAATAAAGAGTGACTATACCATGTGTTGGAAAGAGTGTGGAGTAAATAGAACTTTCCAGAATGTAAAATGTTAACAAACACTTGGGGAGTTTCTCAAAAGTTAAACATATATGTAGCATACATGACCTGATCATTCTACTTCTAATTACCCAAGAAAAATGAAAGCACATGTCCACTCAGATTTGTATACAAATATTCACTACAGTTTTATTATTAACAACTCCAAAATGGAAATAACTTAACCAAATGTTCATTAAACAGATGAATGCATTAACACATTTTGGAATTGTCAAAGTAGAATATTAGTAAGCCATTAAAAGAAACAATTATTCAACAAGAAACATGAATAAACCTTAAGATAACTGTGCTGAGAAGTCAAAAATTCCTCCAAAAATGTACATACTGTATTATTCCACTCGTTTAAAATTTTAGGAAATATAAACTTCTCCATAGGCAAGAAAAACAGATGAGTAAAAATCATTACAAAGGGGTGGGCACAGAGCCTTCTTGATGAAGTGGTGGTGGGTTCAGTGTATACATGACAAAATTCATCAAATTGTATACTCATTATTTCTCAGTAAATCTGTATATAAAATAAAAGTCTACAAATGTTCCCAAAATTGTATTAGTTTAAAGAATAATCAATTTGACATTGAAAAAGGAAAACTTGACAAATACTTGGGAAATCAGAGAAGGAAAAGCATATGCTTTTCAGTCTTACCTGCTTTCACTTGACTGAGTAAGAAATAAAAAAGAGAAAGGATAGGAGAAGGACTCAAACTTCCTTTCCATCACATCCCAAGCATTATCTCAAAAATAACCATTTCTTGTGGTTCCCTTCTATGCCAGGCACAGAACAGACATTATAAAGTCATCAAGGCAGTTAACAGTTAACACATGTAAAGGCCTAGGCTAAAGCACAATTCCATTATAAAAACATTTCAGTGACAAAGCCTGAGAAGTTCAGATACCCAGGAATGGTAACAGAACTTACTGCCAAAAATGCTATATTAAATTAAAGAGACCCGGGGCTGGGGATGTAGCTCAAGCAGTAGCGCTCTCGCCTGGCATGCGTGCGGCCCGGGTTCGATCCTCAGCACCACATACAAACAAAGATGTTGTGTCCACTGAAAACTAAAAAATAAATATTAAAAAAAAAATTCTCTCTCTTTAAAAAAATAAAATAAAATAAATGAATTAAAGAGACCCCACTTATCTAGTAATTTCTCAGCCAGTTAGGACAAAAAGAACTATACATAGTACTCTCCTTAAGAAACCTAACAAATGATTCTCCCAAAATGTAATATTTTGGGATTCTGCAACTGTACATTTACAATCATAAAGGGAGGACTATAAGTTTGTCAGAAATAATAAATTCAGTGAACCAAATTGCTCATATTATATATAGGCCAGAGGTCAGCAAATTGCAACCCATGGGCTAAATGTGGCCTAAGATCTTTTGTCTGTAGACAGAATTTTATTGAAACACTCAGGTCCACATGCTTGTCTCTTGTGTGACTAACCATTTTAGTGAATGACATCAGTACTGAGTAGTTACAACAAAGACCTTACAGATAGCAGAGCATAAAATCTGATGTTTCACGGAAAAAATTTGCTAATTCTTGACACAATTGCAACTATGGACTTATTACAATACTAACCCAGCATACAGGAATAATAATAAGGGATAGGGAAAGAAATGTGGAATGAATCTAACTGAATCATGTTATATATTTACTATTTAAAATATTAAAAATAGTATTTACTAGTTTTTAAAGGATCATCACTTAAAAAGCAGCCCCTCCCACACTCCCACCAGCAGCACTACACAGGACTGCTAAAATTCAAGTTTAGAAATCCACAAAGCTGGGGCTGGGGTTGGGGCTCACCTAGTATGTGCAAGGCGCTGGGTTCGATCCTCAGCATCACATAAAAATAAATAAATAAAATAAAGGTATTGTGTCCAACTACCACTTAAAACAACTTAAAAAAAAGAAAGAAATCCACAAAGCTTAAAACACGAGAGTCTGCCATAATTTCAACAACTGGAAAGTGAGGAATAAATCTCCAGAAGGGAGATAAGAAAATAGGCACCACCAAACCTATATATCAACTGTGCCCAAATCTCTAGTTCAACATATGGATTCTACCACTTCCCCAAGGATAATATGCCATATGTTCAATTAAGGACTAAAAAATTGAGCAGAAATTTCAGCTGGCACCTAACAGGGAAGAAATCAAGAGTTTGCCAAAAAGCAAAACCAATACCAGTTGGAGAAACAATATAAAATGAGAATATTCTCATGACTTCGAAAAGAGATTTCTTAAAACAGGGCGGAGAAAGCATTAACTACAAAACTGAAAACTGATAAATTACATCTCATCAAAATAACAAACTTCTAGCCACAGGCTAGGAGAAAATATTATTAAGGATATAACTGACAAAGAATGTACAAATTCTGATATATTCATAAGATATTACTCTAATAAAAAGAAAAATAGCTATATGCATCCACACATAATACTCTCAAAAGTATTACACAAAAATGCACATTCTTCACTATTTTATTTTTATGAATACAAATAAAAAAAATGGTATCTCTTGAGAAGGGAAGAACAGGAAGGGGTATCAGAGAATGATATCTGTGTTCTATATCATTCATTACCGAGGTTTTTGGGTTGCCAAACTGGAAATAATTAATAGAACTCATCCAGGAACTGGAGGTATAACTCACTGATAAAAGCACTTGGCACTGCAAGAAACAAAACAAACAAAAGAAACTTTTCCAAGAGTACAATGAAGATTCTTGAATTGAGCTGTACTCAAATTCAAGCATACTCAAAAATACTCAACTAATATTATACTCTAATTAATGACACAAATGCCAAAGATTTTAGTAGCGATGTAAAGTAGTACTTGAAACTTACTTTGGACTGATAAACAGATAATAAAAACAGCCACTAAAAGAAATATATCACAATGTTTATTATACTTGTATAATTTTTCAATTTTACATGTGTTTGGGCTGAAGGGAAAACTGACAGATCTGGCCACTATGCTGTGGATTCCAGCAACCCCTGCCCAGGACCAGGATCCTGCTGTGGCTATACATTACAGAGATTCTATAGCACAGCAGGTAGCCTAACCAGGCTTCCTGCACAAAGCTGCTGCTAGCACTACCATGCTCACCTGCAGTAAGACCTGTGGCACTATGCTGCTATCTGTCAAATGGTACAACCAGAAGTCATCATTTCACACTAGAAGACAGCTGTTCACAGCCATGGAACCCTTGGAAAGATCAGACTACGAGATTATCCTTGGGGAAGTGGTAGAATCCACAGTTCTATAGAAAACTGACAAAAATATTCAAATATCCAAAAAGTTCCTGGGGATGCAACCTTTGAATACTTGTACCCAAAGTTAATCTTGCCACGCAGAAGGGCTTCAAGTTTAAGAAACAGAACTAAGAAACTCAATGCCATCAATCTGAAATTCTATGTGCCTAGAGCCTATTTTTAATTTCTTCTTACCAGTTCATAAAGCATCCAAAACCAGATGACATTCTGTCTTGCCAAGAGAGAGACAAGACTTCTTTATTCTGAAGAAAGAACCAAGCATCAGTTTTTAGGAACCTGATGCTAGAGCAATGGAAAAGACACAGGGGGACTACTATAATTCAGATATACCAGGCACACCTATGCCACTTGAGTTGCCTAACAAGGCATTGAAAGTTATTTGAGCCAATGTTTCAGGATCTTAACAGGCAGGACCTTCCAGTTTACATGGTAAGTATCTAGTCCCACAGTAGCC